AAAAAAAAAAAAAAAAAAAAAAAAAAAAAAAAAAAAAAGGGGGGGGGGGGGGGGGGAAAAGAAAAGAAAAAGAAAAAGAAAGAGCGACTAAGGGACTTATGAAACACCAGCAATGGTAACATCATAAACACGTGTATGTCCCAGAAGGAGGACAGAGAGAGAAAGGGACAGCAGTCTATTTAAAGAAACGATGGCCAATAATGTCCAAAACCTCAAAAGACACAGAAACACCCAAATTCAAGAAGTTTAAGGAAATCCAACTAGGATAAATCTAAGGTACCTACACTGAAACATATACTCAAATTCTCACAAGTCAGAGACAAAGTAAGAATCTTGACAACAATAAGAGAAAAGCTAACCCAAGAGGGAGCTTCTATGTTATTATCAGGATATTTCTCAGTATAAACACTGCAGCCTAAAATGGAATGTGATAATATATTCAAATTGCTAGAAGAAAATAACTGGCAACTAAAAATACTGCACCTAGGAAAACTGTCCTTCAAAAAAGGTAAAGAAATTGAGTCCTTCCCAGATAATCAAAAGCTGAGGGAGTTCATCATCAACAAATCTACTGTGATGGTTTGAATGATTGTGTCCTCTCCCCCCATTCACGTGTTGAAATCTTAACCCCTAAGGTGATGGTATTAAAAAGTGGAACATTTGGGAGATGATTAGATCATAGGTAGGAGCCCTCATGAATGGGATTAGTGCCCTTATAAAAGAGGGTTTGACAAAGCTCATCAGCTGCTTTCCCTCATGTAATACACACAGAAGGAGCTGTCTATGAGGAATGGTCCCACACCATACACCAAATGGTCTGGCATCTCGATCTTGAACTCCCCAGCCTCCACAACTGTTTGCAATGCATTTCTGCTGTTTATAAATTACTCAGCCTGAGGTATTGTATAACGGCAGCCCAAAATGACTAAGACACCCACCCTAACACAAATTCTGAAGATAGTCCTTCAAGATGTAATGAATAAAAACCGGAAAAACAAAATGTACTAAAAGATAAAACTCCCTAGTATAGGTAAATATATAGACAAATATAGAATCCTGTAGTATTTTAATATGGTGTGTAGATCATTTTAAATCTGGTACAGAATGTTTGAACCATAAAAAGTAATTATACATCTATGTTAATGGATATGTAATACAAAAAAGAGGTCATTTGTGCTACAAATAATATCATGCAAGGTGAGGGGACAGAGATGTAGTGGGTTGAGAGATTTTATTTGCAATGAATTTAAGCTGTTATCAGCGTAAATGACTGTTGTAAGTTTGACGTATTTAATGTAATTGCAATGGCAACCTCAAAGAAAATATCTGTAGTATATACAGAAAGGGAAATGAGAAGAGAATCAAAAGTCACTACGTGAAATCAACAAAACACAAAACAAGGCAGCAAGGTTATAAAAGAGGGACAAAAAAGCTACCAGATATGTAGAAAACAATTAACAAAATGGTAATATAGTAAGTCCTTTCCTATCAGTAACTGTTTTAAATTTAAATGGATTAGGGCTGACCAGCTAGCTCTGTAGTGCTAATAACACCAAGGTCCAGGATTTGACCCCTGTGCCCAACAAT